TGTGTTTACAAGGCCACCAACACACCCTGCTCCTCACAAGCCTCTTCTTTGGACATCACTAGTTACATGTGTTTGACAGGTTAGCCCGCTTGCTTTCAGCTTTGTCTCTTAAAAGACAATAATGTCTGGACTATTTCTCTGTTCTGCCTTTATTTTTCTACACATGGAAAATCCCACTTTGCACTTGTGTGGATAGATAAACTACTTCTTTATTAGTCCCACAAAAGGAAATTCTCAAAGGAAAGACATGAAAAGCAAACTGGGAGACTAACAAAGCCCAAGCTATGTAGCTGGGTGCTTGAACAGAGTAAAGTGTACTGCTTGACATCGTGTCTCTTTTTGTAGAAGCCCAATTTCTTCAGCTGGACTTAGTCCAAGATCCAACAATGACCCATGGCTTTCAAATTCAAAGAGGTTTTGAAATTACATTTTATCGCTCAAAATGTCAAGTAGCTATCAGAGTTATCAATGTGTGCATGCAGGTGTGTCTGAATGAGTCGGTCAGATGTTTTATCTGTGTGTCAGCTGCCGTAAAATAGTCAGAAAAATGTAGAGGCCTTGGCTTTGGCTGTTTTCAGGGACTTTGGAAAAGCAATAACATGTTCCTAGTTTTGGGAAACATAATAGTGTCCTTGCAGCTTCAGATTCAGATCATTGAGAGATGTAAATATATCTGCCGGATATCACACTATGAGAAGCCAATCTTCAGTGAACAGCTTGGTTGAAGAAGACTTCTTCTGATAAAGGCAAGCATGAATTGCCTCTATGTCAGCACACATAATGGTCGAAAAGCTCGTTATTGAGTGCCATTCCTCAATAAAATCATTTAAATTTACAATGCAAGTAACATCTTTTAGTACTTTTTCAAGAGCTGCAGGCAGTCCACTGTACACCTGCGCATGTGAATATATGACACAGTGGTTTTTCTTTCAAGCTACTTCATGAATTCTCTTCACAGCACCGCTGTTTCTGCCTCCCATAATCGCAACTCTTCCACTTATGTCTTTATAATTGGCCTAGTCCTGTGTACACTTTGTAACTACAGTCTCTCAGCACATCACAAATTTTTTCACCTGCTATACCAGTGGTAATATCCAGACATTATAACTCGGAGTCACATGCATACAGTACATATACCAGAAAGGTCCCACAGTCTGAGACATCAGAGGTATCATGAGTCTTCTGTAAAACTGTGTTGTACTTAGCAAGCTGGGCTTTCTCACTAAATGTCACATTTTTTTCATTAAATATCTGCTTACGATTTCATGTCCTGTGCTGTCCTTTCGAAAAAGTTCAGTGGTTTGTTTGCTGAATCACAGGGAAGTGTTTCTGAATGGCTTTTAGGTTTAAACTTGCATTTAGTTCCTTGCAGCATAAGGTTAGTGCAGTGCTTCTCAATTATTTTCTGTTAAGCCCCCCCTAACAAGAAGAAAACTATTCGCGCCCCCCACTCCCCACCGTGACTATCCATCTCTGCATAACATTTTATCCTTATTAACATTAAAGAAAAGAAAAAAAGAAAGACATATGGTCAAACTTACAAATAATAACTTTACTAAATCGTGTTTTAAGTCTGCAACAGAAAAGATTTTAAGTGCATCAATGCCTGAAATTAAAAATAAATAAATCCTTGTTTAAACTGTAAACATGTTTGACCAACTAATTGCACCATTGCAAAATTAAATCAAATCAATAAATAATATTTAATAATTATAATAACTAATAAACTACAAAAACTAAAAAAAAATAACTAATTTATATTCAGTTCAGCAACATTAACTCAGGAGCACAATATATAAAACACTTGAACCTACAAAACAAAAATGAATTAAACAATTTGTGCTCTTTTTTTCTTTCTTTTTTTGATCAAAATGAGGAGGAAGTCAGGTTTAATGGCTACAATGAGCACGTTTTGCAGTGCACAGCTTTTCGAAGCGAGGTTCGAAGCATGATAGTGCAACTCTCAGCTCCTGCTCAATGTTTACAAAATAGTAGATACATACAAGCAGAGATCATTCCCACAAAAATTAATTCAATGATTGTTTTGTATGAAGGAGTATGAGGGACGTATTTAGAATTTTCTTTAAAGACTTCGAGATTTAAGTCGTGAATTTACGAGAATAAAATCATTAATTTATGAGAATGAAGTCGTAACCTGTTATTTCAGAGGAGACTTGTTAAAATTAGGGCCATGAAGCATTTGAAGGAACTTTGCTTCAGTATAGGTTTCACAAACAAGGAGATACTTCATCCTTTGGTACATCAGCATCACATTGTCATAAGTATAAAGACTTAAAAAAAGAATGTATGAGAAATACGTCTTTTCCACGGGGAAAAAAACTGGTGTACTTGAAGGAAATCACTGCTTTTGTGGAGGCAGAAATGAATATGCTGATGATATATCTGTCAATGCAGCCGTAAATATCCGTAATTTAATTTATGATATGAATCCATATACCATAATAAGGTGTTGGTGTCTCTGCAGGTGAAGGCTACCGCCGGTGTCAGAGACGTGGTGCTCGTCGGAGCTCGACTCCCTCTGGATCACAAATGTTGATCATCATCAGTTTGATTGTTTCTTCAGAAACCACAAAGCTGACCTGTCTGCTGTTTTTGGATTTCTTGTACTTTCTTTTAAGACACGCTGTGTCTCCAAGTGAGTCCAGCCTCTCACCTGAAATGCACAGCTGTGCAGCGGCACGCAAAGCATTCTGGGATACCGACGGCACGAAAGCGTGCATAAATGCACGCTTGAAAACATGCTAAGCCGCTTAGCATTTCTTAGCATCTCGTGCCAAATGGGACACCGTTCGCGCCGTCATGACGTCATGCAAGCTTCAAATGCACCGTTCGACGGTGCAGAAGTGCACTTAGCTCGATGCGGTCTCTGAAATGAGACACAGCCCAAGGTAAACCTGTTGTCTTGTAAGTCGTAAAACGTTGCACTGTCGCAAACGTGACAGAAGTAACAATGAGAGCGCCACTGCTGCCTACTGTAGTGGACGCGCAATTACACTTTATACTAGTACGGCCAAAAAAAAAAGCCTGTTCCCCAGGGTCACACGCGCCCCCCCAGGTATCGCACCACTATTTGAGAAGCACTGGGTTAGTGTCACCATGTTTATTTTTTTCCAAGATGAGGGTCTCCTCTGGGCTTATCAAGCTGTTAGTTGAGCTAAAGACTGGCGTAAGCTTGGCCATTGTTGATGCATGACTCAGCAGTGGTGTATTCAAATCTGGCCTAAAACTTAGTTACGTTTAACAGAAAATGTTTGTTTTAATTTGGTAACTGGAATTTTTCTAGCCTACGGTGATATGTGTGGGTTTGCTTACAATTAGAAGCTAACAATCCACCCATGATCCATTGTCCTTCCTCCATATCTTCTTGAACATATGAGGGGTCACTGGGGCTGACTACTACCTGCTCCACATCTAAATAGCAAACAAACATCCACCAATGACCTTGTAGTCAGTTAGGACTGGGAATGGGCATGGTTAAATGATTGATTGTTAAGAATTATGCCAAATAATGCAAAATTTTGATCGATCTAACATTATTATAAAGAGGCTGACAACCTGCGTCCATCCTCCAGCTGCTTTCCAGCAAAGATCAACCTCTGCTAATCAGGAGGGATACACTTTTTTCCAGTCAGTGTGTGTGTGTGTGTGTGTGTGTGTGTGTGTGTGTGTGTGTGTGTCTTTTTTTTGGCATGCTTTATTATCAAGATAGTTATGTTTACACTCACTCTGTTGGTTTGCAGGGATGCACATTATCTTGAAATATATGCAGATACACTAGTTAGAGACAGAACTATGATTGCCTTGATGTAGTGATCCGAAAAATGAAAATGGCTCATCTTACCCCACTCTCCCGTACACACTCTAAAAAAAAGGAAATAAAAAGTCCCACATTAGGTGCCAAGGGATTTTCTAAGTTTTTGAACCCCTCAAGTAGTCCTCAAGTAGACCATGCCTGAGGAGTTTCAGGAGGATTTGTGTGCCCCCTGCAAACAAATAGGCACCCATTCACTGTCTGTTCACTTTCTAGACAGACCATTTTAACACCTTGACCTCAGTGTCATTTTCCTTCAGGGCTCTGTCTTCAGTTCTGTGGTCCAGTTCTGATGCCTCCAGGCCTATTGTTGGCACTTTCTTTAGTGAACAGAGGTTCACATTGACACCCTGGCTGGTACGTAGCCATGCAGCTGTCCACACAACAGACTGCAGTTCACTGTGAGTTCTGATGCTTTTCTGTCAGAACCTGGTTAAACATTTTCAGCAGTTTGAGCTTGAGTTACTCTTCTCTTGGATTAAACATAGAAGGGCCTTTGCTCCCCACACACGTCACTGAGCCTTAGCTGCCCATGACCCTGTTGCTGGTTCACTGCTTTTTCTTCCTTTTTCTTCTTCTGCTGCTTGTAGGTGCAGACCAGGGACGTCTCACTAGAACTGCAGTTGTGGGATGCTCTGACCCAGTCATCTTACCATCCAAATTTAGCCCCTGTCAAAGTTGCTCCCATCCTTACACTCGACCATTTTTCAACATCAAAATGTTCACTTGCTGCCCAACATATCATCTTCACTGACAGGTGCCATTGGGAAGGTATGATCTATGTTTTTAACTTCACCTGTCAGTAATCACGATGTCATGACTGATCGGTGTATGTCCCTTGTAAATGAGAAAAACTGACAAGTTTGTACACACACATTTGGTGTTGCAAAAGCAGTCAACAAACTTTTTACAGCCTGCACACTGTCTCTCTATTTGATGCTGTGAGTTTTAGCAAATATGCATTGTGCTTTCATGTTATTCTGACCTATCTGGTGCCTTTGACATGAAGCTTAGAGTAAGTTAGGTCACTTTCACACCAGAGCTGTTTGGTCCGCTTTAAATGGACCAGAGTTCGTTTCCTCGGGTAGTCTGCTTCGTTTGGGCAGGTGTGAAAGCTCTGAACTCTAGTGCGGACCAAACAAGCGAACTCTGGTCCGCCTGAAAATGGGGGTCTCGATTCACTTGCAAGTGAACCCGGGTTCCGTTCGAATGCAGTGTGAAAGCTCACCGGACCAAACACAGGACCAAATGTAAGTAATGAAGCTATACGCAGTGCATCTTGGGTAGAGGAAGCACAGCGTCCCTTGTTGCTATGGCAGCGAGTGACCGCTGACATTAGCAGTTGCTAGCTAGCTTTGCTCAATTGTCTGAACAACAATAACCCATAAATTCACAATTTGGCATATTTAAACAAAATCCAATCACAACTACCAACAGTCACAGTCCTTAAACTCTGAGCTCATATGTTGTCACGTTAGATCCTCAAAGTTAGAAAAATAACAGGATCAATCCCAGTTAAGCTACGATAGCATTAAAGGAACAGTCACGTTCACTAACGTTGTAGCATTCCAAAAAATAATGTGATGAAGGACAATACAAGATGGCTAGTCCACCCCTGTTTGTAATTCGTGAGGTTACATACCCCTCCAACTTTGTCCAATCGACAAGTGCCCCTTTCAACCACGTGATGCTGCTCGGAAAGTTTGGTGCGCTTTAGAAATCACAGTGTGAAAGCAGAACCGAAACAAGTGATAAATGCAACTATGTTGCGACTTTCAGCTCCCCAATCGAACCGAGTCCGCTTGGTCAGGTGTGAAAGCGACCTTAGTTGAAAGCAATCTATTTATCTTAGTTATAGTACCTTAGATAACCTCTTTTTGTTGGGTAGATTTTAGAAACCCAACAAATTCCAGCTAAAATGGATCAGTATCTTGTATTAGAAATATAAAAACACACTATGATGATTTTACATTCAAAATGAAGAACTCCTTTTTGAGGATGATGACATTATCTGAAGTAAGGCCCTCAACCGTAAGGACTATACAATCAAATTTTCTGCTCAATTGGCATGGCATTACGCACCTACACTAACTCAAAAATACTCATGCATCATAATTCTTTAGTCCCCTTTGTGTTGAATTGATGGGGCGTTGACATTGACACAAACTCAAAGTTCATCACAAGTGCTTTAATGTCAATCATGAATTACCTATCTAAGGTTTTACAGGCCAACTCTTTAAAAGATAGAAATATCACAACCATTTGTATCTCTTGTAATCTACAACTTTTGTGACCATGTTTTCACATCCCATGATCTCAGCAGAGTCTTGGCAAATACATTTTTTTCATGACAAATATATTGATTTACAGTTAAAGAAATTATTGACAAAACAATGACCTTTAAAAGAATATTTGGGCGTCAATTTAAATTACAGTCAAACACACCGTAACACAGAGTTAGACATCTCCTTGAGAGATGAATGTTGCTGACCACTTTCTTCTCTAGTTCCACCAACTTCAACAACAACCACAAGATAGCAATACATAGTGGTCTACATCTCCATGTGCAAACCTCAACCAAAAAGCCACTATAGCCACAAATAATACTCAGAACAGCACCTAACCTCATCAACAGTACATATAGGGTCCCAGCCATAGTACTAGCCATCAAACATCTTTTTAGCTTTGCCTGATTTCTTTAGCAAAGAAAACAAACACAACTCACCCACTCTTCTCCAGCAGCCGCTTGTTTGTGGGGGAGCCCTGACGAATCGATCACCGAGTGCAGCTGATCATTCCCATGAAGTAATAATAATCATAATAATCATTTTGCACTGCAGACACGGTAGTTCTTATGCCTTTGGGTCGCGGTCCAATTGCATTTCCATAAAGTAATAATTATAATTTTTCGCTGCACTCGGTGATTGACTTTTTGGTTGAGGTTTGTGCGTGGAGACATAGACCGCTGTGTATTGTGTGGTTGTTGCTTAAGTTGGAGAAGCAACAACCAGAGAAGCAAGCAGTCATTCATCTCTCCTGGGGTGTCTAACTCAGTGTTATGGTGTGTTTTACCATAACTTAAATTTACGCCGGAATATCCCTTTAAGTTGTGACAAACCAGCTCAGTCCAGTTTAAAGCTGTTCCTGCAAAAATAAAACCTATGAGTAAAGTACTTTTGTGTTCTCTGTGTGTTTACTCACATATTTGTGAGCACACAAAACATTACTCTGCAGATGCCATTAGTCAGCAAATGTTTGCGTGTCTCTGAGTATCTTTTGAGTTTGCTTCCCTGATGTGTTTGTGTCAGTCTGTCTGTGTGTTAATGTAGTATATTTTCTGCATTGTTTTGGATTGCGTGAACTCATTGTGTAGAACGGAGATGCCATTAGCCAGGAAACAGCTCCCACAAGACCCTTTTTAATCAACTGGCCCGATCATTGTTTGGGAAATAATTATAAAGGAGAAAGTGAAGGAGGGGTCTGTTAGAGAGAGGGGACAAGAAGAACAAAGAACAGAGATGAGAGATGGAAGGTGGAAGAAAAATAGACATAATTATTCAGTTTTTCTCAACAGACATCGCCTATAGAGTCGATATGATCTGCAGAAGGAGACAATAACACGCATACACACAAACAATACATTCCTCAAATAATACAAGTTTGCTTGCGTTGGGGATTAGAGATGCTTTATGTGTTGGAGCACGTTTTCCATGGTGGGCCCATGTGTCTGTGCATGTGCGTGTGTGTGTTTGAGTCACCATGGGAGCTTCTGAAATGTTCATCGAAGCCATTTTCATGGAGGAATGACGTCAATGTTTTGCTCAAAAGTGGGCCATAACACAGCTGTGTCCATGTGTAGGTGTGAAAAATGTGCATCTTTGTGTGTGTCCATGCATACAGTGTGTTCCATCTTGGGTGTCTGTTCACGGCATGTGTGTTTGTGCAGAATTTAAAAGGTTATTTTGGAGGTTATTTGCCGTAAAGTAATCTCAGTATTTCTTCTTTTCTAATTAGTGTGAAACTGATCGAGAACTTTTCCTTTTAACTAAATCAATTGATATTTAACTAATTAAAAACATATAACCATGGTGATTGACTATTTAAATGAACTAATTAAGAGTATAGTTGTAAACACCAAAGAGGGCACTGAGTTTGAAATATGTACATAGACAAAGGAGTGTGTTTGTGTGTCTACAACGGCAGCTCTGCTAGTGTAGCAGCAGACGGGTTGTGCGTCAGGAAAATGACGCCCTGTGGCTAAAACTGTCACAGTCACCTTCAGCCATGCAAACTGGCATTTTCCCCCTCACTCCAAGCATACAGACAGAAACACTTACTCAGACATACACACACCTTCCCTGTGGGACCACTTCTTTGTAGGTTATAGTCTTCCTTGCAGCTGAACAGTTTTTGTCTTGAATAAGTTGCAGGTAGTTTTTCTAAAGCTGATCCTCATTATGTGTCTGTTAAATTGATTTCTTTTTATTCCAAGCTGCCACAAGGGGGAGCTCCCCACTGCAGCTGTGTCTATTAAGATGAGAAGTGTAAATCTCATATTAGAAAATGAACATTTTAAACAATCTTTTATGGTCTTTAAATCAGGGTAAGACAAAATTGGCAGTAAAAAAAAACCTGGTTGATACTATAGTGAAGGGATATGTGAAACACTGTGATTCAAAAGGCTGCACTTTGAGGTATTTTCCTCCTATTTTTCATCAATCTCATTCAAGAAGATAGCCCTTTAAAGCCAAAACCAAACCACCATCCTCTTTCTTCTTTTCTATTTGTGTTTTCTTTCAATCCTACCACATTATTTGTAAACCTAAAGTTTTCTCTCATTGGTTTTGTTTGCCTCCCACTCTCTGTTCCTCCTGTTTTTCATTTGTTTTCTCAATCATACTGTTTTCTCCATCAAACCTCTGAATGTGGCCTTGGGTGCTGAGATCTGACCCCCAAACATGGCCTCAAAGGAGCGTAGAAACTAGAGGGTCAGGGAACTAAAGCGAGGGAGAGTTTGTCCACCCTCAGTGCACATTTTCAACACCTTACTGACCTCTTAGAAAATCCTCATTTTTGCCCCTTGTTAAGGTAACTGCATCTGCTGCGCTCCCCTCCCTCTTTCTTTTCCTCACATATACCAACAATCTCTTTTTTTGATCCCTTGAATTACTTTTGCACCTTGTTTATACAGCTTTTTTCCCCTTATTTCAGCGCAGACACAGGCAGAGACTGAGAATTGAGACGGCACTGGAAAAGTAAAAGCACATAACCCACATATGTATAAAATAATCATTTGCCAACACGTAGCCGGCTGTGAAGAAGCCACAGTACATCCCCAACACCTCGCTTTGCCTGCTACAAAAGCCAACCTGCAACAAACTGAATACTGTCAAGTGATGTTACTCCTACAGTATATGTGCTCTCTTTTTTCACATAAATAACCTTTGTCTCTCGCAGCTGAGATGCCATGTAATACTGATGCTTTGTAGGTGCCGTATGCATAAGCACAAACAACCTGCATATTCCATTTCCTCTCTCTCTCTCTCTCTCTCTCTCTCTGTGTACCTTTCATTCTGTTATTTCTCTCAAGTCGGTGAGTCCTGAATATGCAGCACAAACATACAGTCACACATTCAGAATGCTGTCTTTGTGATAACCCGGGGCCACAGTTCTCTGTATAAACAAAATCCAGTAGCTTGGGTTTGCTGGTATATTATCAATATCCTGCAAAAAAGCATGTGTCTGCAGAGTCACTTTTTAGGAACTTAGGGAGAAAGTTTTATGCTTGCTGTGAGCTGCTGCACCGCGATGACTCACAATTTCAGTCAGTTCAAATTTCCCTCATGGGCTGCTGCTGATGACGGTAAGTCTTTAGACTCAGTGCTTCAGGTTAAAAATACTTTGTAATAAATTTGACAATGGAATACTTCTTCTGGGAATTAATATTTTCTATAAATAACAGGAATTGATGTCAGAGGAAAGTTTAATGTCAGAACTGGAGAGTCACTGTGCAGAACAGCTGAATAACTAGGGACTCTGATAAAGATGATTCTGAGCATTTAGTGAAATTTTGAACGAGGTAATCCAGTTAGTTTTGTGGCTTGACTGATACCAAAATATGCAAAGCAGGCAACTCTATTAAAACACAGCAATTCTCTAATGATGCACTTTTTACTGAAGACCTAAACAACCTCATTACAGGGGGTGATTTACAGAAAGAGGTTGTGGCATGATTCACCTCTGCCTGTTGACACTGTGGCAAAAAAAAAAAATACAGTTTGCATCCCAAAACTTCAACTGAAAATGACAGTTAGCCAATCAGGGGCCAAAGATGCGAGAGCAGTCTGAGAAGATATCAGGCCTCATCAATCTTTGATAGACAAAATTGAGCAAGATACTGTCATTGTCAGTTTTTTTGTGTCAACTTGTGCTCAGTTGGTTGCTCACCATGTCAGGATCGTGATACACCTGTCCACTTACGAGAGACCTTTAATGCTGA